GTAAATGCTGCCATTGTCAAACACCTGCTGGATGATCAGCCCAAAGGAGAAGGGGGAGATGTTCAGCATGTTCAGCAGCGTGGCTTCACTGGCTCCCACTTTGTCTCCAGTTTTTATCAGCTGCACATCACTCAGAATTTCAATGGTGCCCCTGGAGATTTTAGTGGTGATGCCTAAAGCCTGAAAGAAAGAGGTCTTCTCGGGCCCCAGACCAGTGTTCTGGGCTGGCACAGTGACCTCGCATGGGGCGATGGCACCAGCACGGGCAGCAGCTGGCACCTTATTGGCCAGCAGCATGTCCCGAATCTCAGTGAGGTCCTCCTTGGTGAACACAAAGCCCACATTCCCCCGGATATGAGGCAGCAGTTTCTCCAGAGCTCGGTTGTTCTCCAGGTGCCCCTGGATGGCCTTCCGCATCATGGTGTTCTTGCCCATCAGCACCACAGCCTTCCCTCGCAGAGACATGCGGATCTGCTGCATCTGCTTGGAGCCCACATTGTCTGCTCCCACAGTGAAGCATTTTGGATAATCATCCAAAAGTTGGATGATCTTAAGGAAGTAGTTGGACTTCCAGGTCGCCCTGTCTTCCCTGGGCATCACGGCAGTGCGTCAGGGATTGCCACGCAGGGTTTAAAGACGATGTCACTCTAACGAGAACGCCTGGCGAGAGAGCCTTGTTGAGTATTTTTGATAGACTGGATTTTCATAGGCTGTTCGGCTTCACGGTAGGAATATTTTGTTGTTAGGTTTGGAAGACTCTTTGGGCTCTCTTCTAGGTTAAGCCGTGCCTTCTTTAGAAGCAAACTGTATTGACTAGAGGTACTAAAGTTATATTTTTTTTTGTGGGAGCACTTGAGGGTGCCCATAGCCCTTCACTCATACTCATTCATTCATTCACTCTCTAGAATCAGCATCACTGTCATATTCTGGTTTCCCGACATTGGCCAGCTTGACTCCTGGTCCTCACCTGGCTTTTTAGTTCTAGATGAGTGAGCCAACCTTTGTGATTGCAGTGGGTGCTGTGAGACAATTGTATCACCCTGTAAACATTTGTTTCTTGAGCTTGTTTGATAAAATGCTGTTTGGCTGGTAGCCAGGCAGGAAGTAGAGGTGAGACAATGAGAACAGGAGAATTCTGGGAAGAGGATTCTGCAGTCCGCAGTCATGATCCAGACATAGGGCAAGCGAGATGTGACAGTCTGGCTGAAAAAGGTACTGAGCCACGTGGCTAACACAGACAAGAATAATGGGCTAATATAAGTTATAAGAGCTAATAAGAAGCCTGAGCTAATGGGTCAATCAGTTTATAATTAATATAGACCTCTGTGTGATTCTTTGGGACTTAACGGCTGCAGGACCAGGCGGGACAGAAACCGCAGTCACCAAGTAGGGCCAATAATGCGAGTTGCCTTCTGTTTTCCCAGTTTGTGTGGGGATGGTGAAAGATGCCCACGTGCCCTGAGCAGGAGGAAGGCGCATAAACATGTCCCGGACACTGCTGTAAAGCATGCCACTCCTCTTACTGCTATTGCAAATCGGTCTCTGTCGTCAGCAGCCTGGCACGATTTGCCAGCATCAACTTTATCCCAAACTGCAATTCCCTTTACAGTGCATTTTAGTGTGTGAGTTCTGTCCATCAGCAGCTGCTTAAAGGGACTAATAACTGTATCAATATTCAGCAAACACGAAATAACCCAGAGAAATGAAAGTTTGAATCCAAAGTTGTTAAATGGAAGCGGCAGCCAAAGTGATTATATAAACATAGATAGAATTTTATGGAGCTCCATCTTGTTATTTCCATTGCCTGGCTCAGCTCCACTCTTGTAATAGACATTATCCTGGAGCTAAAGTTAAATCGTTCACCTTTGGAATGGTCCAGCACTGACTCTGCTGTAGGCTCTGGTGTCCCCAGTGTGGGAGTTGAGGTCTGTGGTGGCTATGACTTTACTCTTTCTGAGTGTTTTCTGTCTGATGATTAGGCCTAGGACAGTAACGTATGGGGGCAAAGTGACATTTTAAAAATTGTCTCCTTAGTAAAGATATTGAGAAATGCTTTTCTTGTTTGTTTGTTTTTGCTTTCTTTGAGACAGGGTTTCTTGGTGTAGCCCTAGTTGTCCTGGAACTCCGTCTGTAGACCAGCCTGGCCTTATACTCAGAGATTCACTTGCCTTTGCCTCCTGAGTGCTGGGATTAAAGGCATGCACCACCACTGCCTGGTGCTGGGAAATGCTTTTTAAAATAGCAAATATGTGAAGTATTTCTGGTAAGTTAGGTCCTTTAACTTTTCTGTCTATTAAAGTGACATGTCCCACTAATAGGGGCATTTTTCCTATCCCTGCAGACTCAACAGAATTAAGAGGAGAGAATGGGAACTCTACGCTTTCACATTTAGTTTTTTTTTTTTTTTTTTTTTTTTTTGCGGGGGGTGGGTTGCTGGGTGCTGAACCTATATTCTTGTGCATGCTAGGTACCACGTTCTGCCATTGAGGTAAATTCTCAATAACTGGTTTTGGAGATAGGGCTGTGCTGTGTTGTTTTGGCTGTAGTTCAGGCTAGCCTTGAGCGCAGTCTTTCTCCCCCAGTCTCCCAAATTCTAGCATTATTGGTGCATGCCACCATGCCCAGCTCTGTGCATTGATTCTTAGTAAACAAGTATACTTTTGCTTAGATTCTGCAGGGCATGATTTTGTTTTGATTTTGTTACCATAGACTGAATATGTGGGACGTTTGTCATCTTCTGTCCTTTCTGACGCTGGCATTCTGTCGCAGCTTGTCTAGAGGCACAGCATGTATGTCATGAATAACAGGCTCATTTCAGTCCCATTCATGTTACCAACCCAACATGGCTGGCCCTTCCTAGCGGCCACAGAGCTCTTGGTGCAGCTCCTTTTCCTTCCTGCTGCGCTTCACCGATGTAGACAAGCAGAGGTAGCGCTCAGGTTCTCTGTGCCCTGTGAATGCTGCTTTGTGGTTTCTGTGTCCTTGCTCTGCTGTACACAGAAAGGCTCCAGAGACGTATTTGTCTAGGTGATGAGGGGATGAAGGAAAAAAAATCATAGATGGACACAGGATTTGCTGGACTGGGTAGTCTTGGCTCTCTGCTGAAGAAACCACAGTAGCCCGAAAGCTCATTGTGTTTATTATGTAGAGTTGAACAGAGAGGCAGGGCTATTGCATACAGCTGAACAAGGAGGGGAGATTATTACATACAGAAAAACAAGAAGGTGATGTCTATGGTATTAAGAAGACAGGGTTAGCCAATATCCTTAGGAGCAGTCTCTGATGTAATCTAATGTTACCTATAAAAGTTTACAACCTTCTTTTGAGTCATGAATGAGAAAAAATATATGTTCCATGGAACTCAGAAACCTTGTGCAGTGTCTCATTGGATTAAGTTGGCATCACACCTGGCAGAATTAGTGAACAGGAAAGAATCAGTGAGCATCGTTGGTATATCTGGTCACAAAATGCAAAGTTGGCCGTGTCTCAGTTCCCTCATCACTTTGCAGCATGTAGGGGATCCTGCACTTGCTGAGGAACAGACTCCTAGATTCTGGGCATTGCAGGGACGCTCTAGCCTCTCTATTTCATGTTCTCAGACATGCCCCGTCATGCTCATACCTCACAGTCAGCCAGGTATGAGATATCTGTGGCCGCTATCAGCACGGGTCCCTCCACTTTGGATATTATCTAGCCGTGAAGTTGTGGTTGAATTTCACATAGTCAACGAGGACTGTTGGCTTGGAGGCATAGGATGACCCGCAGGACTCTCACCCTGCCCACCATGTGAGCTCAGTAAGTTGTGACTAAGCAGTTCCAGGTTGCCACATTCATTCTCTCCAATTGTGACTAAAACACTCTTTGATTACCTGATTTCTCATGGATGTACTATTGGCATCAAAGAGTTTGTATTCACTTGAGAGCATTTGAACTAACATTAAGTAACTGGTTTTTGTGAGCCCACCAGATGCTGTTTCATACTGCTATAGTTATTTGGTACATTTTAATTCCCCACTAGGTAGCAGACGATGGCGTTTTCTTCTTCTGGTGTGTGTCTGTATGTGTGTGTGTGTGGGGGGTTTGGTTTTGCTATTTCCGTACATTAATGTTTAACAATCTCAAGCCAGTGTTCACAACATCATTGTCAGGAGCATCCAGAAATTTCATATTGTGATGAAGTCTTCATTTTTCTTCCTTAGTCATAGAAATTAGTTCTTCCTGAACGGATCTCTACCCCCCCATGGTCAGGAAATAACTGCTGACCACATCCATCACACCGATCTGAATATTATCATATTTCAGAGATTTTCCAATTAATTCCATGGAAGCCAGAATCACTCCTAATTATAAGTCTGTTATGCCTCTTTATTTTTTGATGTACTTGTAAATTCATGCTTACCCCTGCAGCAGTCTGTAACATAGGGCTATTATCAGTGCTTCTGTCTTTAAAAACCTCCTGTCTACTATCTTGACTAAGATTGATCAACTGCACTCTGTTGAAATCAATCATTTTGGATTAAAAAAAATCCATCCTGCCTATTTCTTAAGGCTACTCTTGCGTGATTCCTCCCCACTTAACTTGATTAATCAGTCTGCCAGCCCAGTCGCTTTTCTCCATCTTGACTTCCTTTTCTTGCTTTCCTCTTTTTAAGGAACTGTCTGTCTTGATGTCTTCATTTCTCTTGCTGTCTTGTGGACAACGCCTCTGGAATGAAGAGCCATTTGCAGAAGGCAATAGAATAATGCCTCTTTTTAAATCTACCCAGGCACTCTTCCCTGTACCTTTTTTAAAGAATGAAAACGACAATCCTTATGTTTGGCAATTCTTTCCTTGTTCAGTTTTGGGCGCATGCTTTACCGTTGACTTCTAGGTGCTTTGGAGGAGCGCTGACATATGCACTTGGTATTTATAGCATCACATTCCTTTATAGTATACTCTTACCCTGATGTCTCCTGCTTCCTTTGGGCATATTCATTCATATTTTATTTTCTCCTCCTAGGTACTGACTTTAACATAGACAGCTTACCTCTGCCTCGGAAAGCCCATCATGACTGGGCCCTTTTCCATGAAGAGTCCCCCAAAAACAACTATAAGCTCTTCCACGAGCCGGTCATCACCTTATTCAACCACACAGCCACATTCAGCAGGCATTCCCACTTGCCGCTGACCACCCAGTACTTGGAGGATGTGGGAGTCCTGAAGTCACGCAGATACCTAGTTCCTTTGCAGTCAAAAAACAACCTAAGACAAAGACTTGCTCCGCTGGTGTACGTGCAGTCCGACTGTGATCCACCGTCAGACAGGGACAGCTATGTTCGGGAGCTGATGGCTTACATCGAAGTCGATTCCTACGGCGAGTGTTTGCGGAACAAAGAGCTTCCTCAGCAGCTGAAAAACCCAGCCTCCATGGACGCCGATGGCTTCTACAGAATCATCGCCCAGTATAAGTTCATCCTGGCGTTCGAGAATGCAGTCTGTGATGATTACATCACAGAGAAGTTCTGGAGACCCCTGAAACTGGGGGTCGTCCCCGTGTATTATGGATCCCCCACCATCGCAGACTGGCTGCCAAGTAACAGAAGCGCCATTCTTGTTTCAGAATTTTCTCACCCCAGAGAACTGGCAAATTTCATTAGGCAGCTGGATTATGATGACCGATCGTATGAGGCCTATGTAGAATGGAAACTGAAGGGTGAGATCTCTAACCAGCGACTTCTGACAGCTCTCCGGGAGCGGAAGTGGGGAGTGCAAGACATCAACCAGGACAACTACATTGATACGTTTGAGTGTATGGTGTGCCACAGGGTGTGGGAAAACAGTAGGCTACAGGAGCAGGTGAGTTAGTGCAAGTTTGGTGTGTGTGTGTGTGTGTGTGTGTGTGTGTGTGTGTGCGCGCGTGTGTGTGCTGTCTCTGCCTCTCTGTGTGGTGTGGACCTTCTGTCTGTGGCTGCTGCCTGCCACCGTTCTCTGTTCCTAGCAGAGTGGTGGGCTATACAAGAAGGTAGAAGATCATTTTACTCTTTGGGGACACTGGCATGCTTACAATTCAGGACCTTCTGAAGCTCTTCAGTCCTCCTTGTTTCTCTGAAGAAGAGTTTTGCTACAGGTGCTGGGCATTGACACACGGGGCTGCAGAAGAAGGGAGTCGGTTCCCAGATCAGAAACCTAAGAGGTCTGCTTTCCATCTGCACACACAGTCCTGTAAATCCGCCCTCAGTTCTGTGGTTAAGGACCTTGTGAGTTGTGCCAGCCCCCTTCTCTCAATGCCATAGCCTGCCATTAGGAAACTCACCTTGCGTATGCATTTAGCTACCTCTGTCTCCATTCTTGATCTTGTTTTTTTCTGACATATAGTCATGCTGAATAATGTAATTTAATTGTTCTAATCCTTAATGCTTGGGATCAGAAGAATTTCGGATATTGAAGTTTTTCAATTTATAAATTATTTGCATAGCCTTTAACAGCTGAACATTTCTAATCCTCAAATCCCAAACCTGAAATGTTCTAAAATTAGAAAGTGTTGAATGTCAGTTTGCTGCTCCAAAAGTTGCAGACTTCGGAGCATTTCGGATTTCAGATCTTCAGGTCTCACTTGAGGGATGCTTAGCTTGTCAGATTCTTGGGTGAGGGATGCTCAACCTATATGAAGACTTTGAATAACAATGAGGTTAATGTTGTGGGGCAAAGACCACAAGGACCACTCAACAAAATAGGATTACTAATTTAGTAGTACTTATTAATATGGTTGGCGATTGCCTGGAGAGAAAACATTCTCACAGAGCAATCCTGACTACTTTTTGCAGGGAGCTTTTAAAGGCGAAAACCATATCCTGGTTGTCAGTTGCAAGCAGAAGTAGAGCAAGCAAGCTGTTTAACAGAAGTAAGAAGCAGCAGTTAGCGCAGTGGGGGGGGGCTTCTTGACCTTGACCTTGGAATTACCAAGATTGAGAAATTTTTAAGGGATTTTCTTACAGGAAGGGGTTTAAGCAAGGGGCCAGATCTGAGTCAGACCCCAGATGCCTCCAGCAGAGACAGGTTCTCACTGAATGTAGAAATCTCTAGCTCTTTGATCTTGTACTACCCAGACTCCAGAATTGTTAGAAACACCTAGTTTATAGTGTTCAATAGCAGAATACTTGGTGACTACCCTAAGATATAATGTAGGACAGCAAACAAGAGTTATGTACAAGAAAAATGGCGGAACTAATTTTTGAAAATTAAATTGAATACAAATGTATATGAAGTTGATAAAATGATTTCTCCATATTCTAGCAATAGACAGAAAAATAAGTTGTTTAAAAATACTATTATAGTACCATAAAATATGAACTAATTAGAGTTGTCTGGCCAGTTAGAAGTAACACACTCCAGAAATGAAAAATACCATTCAGAGAAGCTGAGGAGGTGCTAAATCACTGGACAGATAAATCATGCCCAAGAATTTTCTCGATATTGTTGTCAGTTCTAAAACTGATAGGAATTTAACATAATATCAATAGAGAGTCTATTAAGTATTTTTATAGCAACTGACAAATGAACATAAAAACTTTATGGAAAAGTAGATGACCTAAACTAACATGAAATTTGCAGGTAAATGGATAGAGCTAGACATAAATATTTGTAGAGAGATAACCTAGACCAAGAAGACAATCATAGCATTTTTTTCTCACAATTGTGGGTACTAGCACTGAATCTTTAGATATTTTTGAAATATCCATAGAGGCCAAGAAACTGGTAAGAGTCTTGAGGGTTGGGTTCAAGGGAAGGAATGTAAAATGAAGTTAACGTGAAGAGTGATGGGAAATAATGGAGCAAGGAGGATTAAGTGGGCGTGTAGGGCAAATGAAAGATTATGGGGAGGGATAACTAACACTTCAGACCTTTGAAAAGTCATGGAAACCTAATACTATAGAAACATATATGTATAGACATGCATATGTATTTTTAAATGGAGATACCATTTAATATGAGAACAATGTCCCACCTAGACCTGTGGCTATCAAAAGCCAAATGTAAGAATGCATTACCTCTGCTTTTTGACTTGTTGGTCCCATGGACTCCCCCTCAAAATGTTATAGGATATTGCCCTTACTGTTGACCACCCTCCAGAACTTAGGTAAGACTCTTGCTGAAGACGCTATATACTCCAGCCATAGATCATAGAGGAATCAGGCTGGTACTGACCTAGAAGCTTTATGTGTATTGGCACTTGCTGTATATACTACCCAAGGAGAAAAGTAATCATCAGTCTTGGCTAACTGTGAATTATGTGAACTTAAAAAAAATGACTGGCTTGGCAAGGTGTGCCCACTGGCACAACAGTGTCACAAATATTCTGGGAGTGGTCAACCACTTTCTGATTGGATTTAAGGCCTTCTTCATAAGATAGTACTTATACCTGGCATCATTATAAGGGTCAAGAACCTGTGCTATGGCTAGATAGACCCAGGCCCTAGGGGAGAGCCTACCACTGTTGTATTACTAAATGGACATAGTATTAAACCAAGTCCTAATGACTTACCATTATGCCCATACATTACTGTATCTCTCAGCCTTATTAGAGACACTTCTTTTTGTAGTTTATGGTGATTAACACAGAGATCCACAGCTACTCAAGGAGTAGAGAATAAGAGCTTAGACTCAGCTCTAAATGGGATGTGTCTATCACACTTCTCCTCCCAAAGCTCAGGGATCATTGCAGATGAGAACAGAGAAAGAGTAAGAACCGGAGACGGGGAGTTAGGGTTCGGGTTAGAGTTGAAATGGTGTTTTCTGGGCACAGCAGGGCAGTCGCACATACGAACTCACAGAGATTATGACAGCATATGCAAGATTTGTACAAACGCAAGACGGACACATCTCAGCATGGAGGGAGCGGTGGTCAGGAAGTCTCACTCCTGGCTGAAGATATATTGATGGTTGATTCTGGGAGGGGAAGAATCGGTTTTCTTTAAGGGTGTGATCCTTGGTAGGTAGGGCCATACTCCGATGGATGGCCCCACACCCTGGAGTAAGTATAAGGGCAGCACATATTGGACTGGATGGATTATTTAAAAAAAAAATAAAAGAAGTCATGAAGTATGAAGGAGGGTAGAAAGGTATGGATGGATCTAGAAGAAGTCGGGAGAGGACTAGAGAGTAAATATAATCAAAATGCATTGAATTAAAATCTTAAAGAATTAATTGACATGAAAGACTTTCTATACATTTTGACAAAGATTTAAAAATGCACACTGGAACCTGCAGAAGAAGGACATTAAACCCCTCTCTCTTACCGTGCACAAAAATCAGCTCAAAGTGGATCAAGGACCTTAATTTAAAAAAAAAAAAACTCCTAGAGGAAAAGACTTCTAGGCATAGGAATAGGCCAGAGCTTTCTAAATATACCCCCTTGGACACAGCAAATACTCTCAAGAAATGACAAATGGGAGTTCATGAAATTCAAAAGCTTTTGCATAGCCTAAGAAACTATCAGCAGAAGCAACACAGCCTACAGAACGGGAGGAAACTGTTGTCAGCTGTGCTTCAGGCAGGGGTGTTGATATATCTAGACTATATAAAGAACGGCAAATATTAGCATCAAAAACATAACAATAAATGGGCCAATGAATTAAACAGACAAGCCCTAAACCATGAAACACAAATGGCCGCTGAAATGTAGGAAAACATGCTCAACCCCATTAGTCATCAGAGAAAGACAAATGAAAACCCTGAAATCCCATCTCCATTAGGGATGGCAGTCATTGTGAAAACACCAAATGATGGTGAGGTTATGGTCATGACGGAACCCTGGTAGGCAGGTAAATTAGTTCAGTCACGATGGAAACCAGTGTGGAGGCGCCTAAGGATGCTAAGAATGTATCCATCACACAACACAGCTATACCACTTCCGGGTATTTGCATAAGATGCTGCAGATCAATGCCTCTCAGAAACTTGCACACTGATGCTTATTGCAGCACCGTCCACAGGAACTGTTATGGAACCAACCAAGTTGTCCAGCAGCAGACGGATGGAGAAAGGAAATGTGGTTCATAGACATGGAGTTTTGTTCAGCTCTGAAGACGTTAAATCGTTAACAAGGAAATGGATGAACTCGGGTGAATCATGTTGAATGAATTAATCCAGTCTCAGACAAATGTCTCTCATATGTGGTTCCTTGATTAATTAGATTCATAAATCCACATGTAAACAAATAACTTAAAAAACCAAAACCATCTAAGGAAACAAAGGGAATTAATGGAAGTGGGAGGGCTTAGGGGAGAGGAGAGTGATATGGGGGAATTATATTCCATGTATCATATATATTTATATAAAAATGCCTAAATATAACAGAGAAACAGGTACAATAAATATATATGATAATAAAGTTTTAAGAAATATATAATGTAGGGTTGAGGTCTCATAGGCCTTTTCCTGTCCAGTTGGCATGTCCGTCAGTGTCATAGTTGGTCAGCTCACCTTTGGGTGATCATCTTGGTGAGACTTTATGAGGTAGCTTCTGATATTAGTAGAGAACACAATCTCAAAGGAAACTCCTTGGTCATCAGACTCTGATAATCTTTCCATCCCCTCTTCTGCTATGTTCCCTGAGCCTTAGGTGAGGGAGTGTTTTGTGTGTGTGTGTGTGTGTATGTATGTATGTATATATATATACACACACAAACATATATAGCATGTATATATAGTATGTATATATATTGTGTGTATACACATACACATATATATATACACGTACACACACACACACACGTATATATCCATTGGCACTGGGCTCGCTAATCCTGTATCAGCCCTACCCAAAGAACTATAGGCAACCAAGGAATGCTGGGAGCAG